ATGGGTACCAAGTCACATCGGTTTGCTGGGAAATGAGCAGGCTGATCGAGCGGCAAAGTATGCTGCTTCTGCTCCTCTAATTATGGATGATGTCAAGGAAAAATTGGATCTTCTAAGATGCATTGGAAGAAAAGTTAAAGAGAAAATTGCAGAAGGAAATTTACAATACCATCATCAACACTACTCTTGCATTAACCCTCAATTAACTCCACCTCTATATCCAACAAATGTTGAGAAAACAAAGATCTAAACATTTTCGAGAATTCGCCTTGGTCATACAATTGCAACTCACCAATGGATCCTGAAGAAGTCTTCTTCGCCAATCTGCTGTTGTGGACAAACTCTTACTATAAAGCACATTCTCTGCGACTGCCTCAACTTTTCCTAGGCTAGAAGTATTGCATTTGGAACGATTAACCCTTTGAACACTCTACAATCAGCTTCAGAACAGAATATCAATTCAATATTTTACTTTATTAATACTACTAAGCTTATTATCTAATATCCATTTATTTAAATTAGAGCCCATAGCCTGTGTTGCTAGTGCTCAATGTCTTTTTTTTAGTCTAAGAATTCAATTCATTAGTCTAAAATTACAATAATAATAATAATAATATGTTTCATTTCAAATAAAAATTCATTGGTTTGTAAGTAAAAATTTGTAAGCGTAAAAATTTCATATTTTAATACCTTACTTGTAAAGAGTTAAAAGACAACAATTTAGTTGCACCACGGTTTTTATCAATTCATACGCAACAAGTTAGTTGCACCACGGTTTTTATCAATTTATACGCAACAATACGCAATTTATATAGTAAAAGTGGATGGATGAGATAAAAAGCAAGGCGGATTAATTAACAGAACAATCATTAATATACAATTATTCCTATATTTGGTTTTGAACTTCGAGTTCGGTAATTTGAGAGAGTAACTAAATGAGCGACCACTTGTTGCAAAGTTTTTACCGGCATTTGTTTCTACAAACAGCTAATAACCAAACCAATACCATCTACAAACCTCTTAAATCGACACTTGCGCGAATTATGATAATTATGCTAAAAATGAAATAGTAATGGAAGTTTAAGGAAAAGTTGGAAGCAATTTCAGATTACACTCGACTAACTAACTGGCGTGGCTGTATATGATTCCAAAACCTAGTTCCGTAAAATCTTAAATGCTAAATGGTTTCCATATAGTTATTTATAGATTTATATATAATTGCAATATTTATTGAAAATTTTACATTAATTAAATTGTTTTATACGTTGACAAAATTAATATAAATAATAAAAGACAGTGTAATAATTCGAAGAGGTGACGTATCCATTATTAAAGAAAGAAACATTTCACGATTCTGCTGACATTTTCCATTTAATTTCATTTAATTTTTGTTTAGTTTCTTGATAAGCATATTGGCATATATAGCAATGTTTTCCATTGCCCAGACCGAAAGGGTGTCACCCTTGTTGACGACCACGTTGGCAGTTTTGCCGTTTGAACGACAAATGTATGACAAGCCTTTGTGTGCATGCGCTGTATACGCATATGGTAACACGACCCGGCTTGCTTATATATTTCTGTTTTGTCTACACGTGTTTTAAAGCTTATAAAACAAGAGCCTTTGGGTCTTAACGAGCGTCTTTGATTTCCTCAAATAGTGTCTATTTATTCTTCAATGTGTACCCGTTACCTACCAAGTAGCTCACTTTTAATACTTTTAATACCACACTTCTGCTAAAGTAAGGGAATCGGCGATTTCAACTGTATCTACGATCCGAGTGCTAATTTTCTTTTCCCTTTTTTAAATAATAAAAACTCACCACTGAAAGACACTAAAGCATCAAGGTTATACGAATACGATAGAGTAACTTGGAAATTCGCGTTGGTTTTTGATCAAATCAAACTGCAATATATCAAATTTTGTCGTGAAATTTTGGACAAAAGTAATCCGGTTACTTATTAAATATCTATCGACATGCAATTAATAAGAAAATATTTGGTGACCTAAGGATTTGCGTTAGTATAAAATTTCCGTACTTAATAGTTGGGATTTTGTAAATACACTTCATATATTAGTAAGAACGTTTTCAACAGCGAACATTAGATAGCCTAAGTGTCACAATTATTTTTGGGTGAAAGCCAGTATTACAATGAAACACGTTTATGAACACTCTCTGTCTCACAGTTCCTTTCATCGCATCCACATAACAAACGATTTAAGATCATGAATTACTTTTATCTTTAAATACCTTATACAACATCCAAAGTAACAAGGTGACCTTAAAAGATAACAAACGCTTAATATAAATGTTATAACACAATAAAAACAAGAGAACAATCTAAAATTACTACAGCGGGGAGTCTATTATTTATTGATTATAACTGTTTGTTAGTCATAGCATACTACGCGGTAACTTTAAATCCATCCGTTTGATATTGATGCTAGGTCGCTATGGAACAGAATACAGAAAGCAGTCATACAGAGGCAAATGAAGGGTGTGAACATTAAATCAATCCAAAAATCCAATTTTCTGCACTTTATTAAGCATTTGTCAATTTGGACCCAAAAATATCTTTCAGCGATTGACTGATGTCGGCTTTTTAATCAAAACTTTTTATAGCATATTTTCTTAGCGAAAAAAGCAAAAATCTTGGATGCATTTGGCCGATAATTTCACGTAAGAAATTTGGTTAGAAGTTTATACTGACAATGCTTCTAATTACATCAGGCGAGTTGATCAGATCCCGGGTTTATTAATAATGTATCTTAGAAGATAAAAATCAACTGCGATCAACTTGTAGTGTGACCTAAAGGAAATGAAAGTCTCTGATCTCTCTTTTGGTGTCAGCAGAGAAGCTATGTGTGCAAGAGCGAGGACGAAAACCGGAAGAACCGAAGAAAAAAGAAGTTTGCCGTAGCATATTTTCACTAGCAATTCTTCATACACGTTGACTTCGAATAAATTAAAAGTGAATACCTTCGATTATTTCGACTTTTTCCACAATGCCCCTTAAAATCAATTTCACCAAATACAACCGTACTCGATAAAGGACGACCTTGGCGAAAGGAGCCTATAAAATATATGTAGATTTCGAAAACGACTTTGAACTTAACACCCATCGAGTGAATATCAAACCCATATCATACCCCAAAAAGTGAATATCAATACATACATATAAAACATAATACTACAACATATAATAATGCAATACGCACATAAAAAAAATTCCACTTAACTTCAACGGAGCGCAAATTCTAAGAAACTCTGCTACCTTTCGGATCTTCACGGAAACTTTTCAATTCGATTACTCATGGAAATTTTTTGGGTTATCTGCGCCGATAGCCGATAATCACGTCTATGTATATAAAAAGATACAATAATACAATAATTTAATGAATACATATGTTTATTGTTTATTATTAGTGTTAAATGTCAACTGATTATAAACTTGTTAAAATCATAACGGTTCGTTACATCGAAATATATACTGTTTAACAAACTGTGGCCTTGTTACTGTCTTTGCCATTGGCTTATCCGATAATTCAATATCGATCGCTTGTTAGAGCCAAATTTCAGAGACATATTATTGTTCCAATTCATGTTGCCGGTTGCCAGTCGAGCGACCATCAACGCGAACGAAAACATTAAAGGAGTATTTGTAAATTTAATTCGAATTCTGCCATAAAACACGCATTAGTCATTATTCGAATGTCATGGCACGCGAGATAGCAAGAAAACAATTGTTCAAGGCTACTGAAAGAAAACCAATTTACTAGTCCATTAAATTGCATTTCTCTCGTTGCAGTTCACTCACACGGCCTATAAATTGGTAATATTCTACGAAAATTTTTCGTTCCCTTTAAGAGAAGTGCACGGAATAACAAGGCAGAGTACTAAAAAAGCGGCCTTTTCCGTCATATTTTCTATGGTTTCTCTTCTTTTTTTTATATATATATTAATGAGTTTTGAAAAGCGTATAACTTAAGCGCTTGGTTGCTGCAGATGCTGTTCCATACATCCAGTATCGGTTAAAAATGTTGGTTTCATTACTTGTTTCGTTATTAACATATCGTTGGTGTTTAATTCGTTCCATTCGTCGATACCCAAATCACCTGTAATAGAAATAAAAACGTTAGCAAGGGAGAACAACAACAAACAAAAGCCCTCGCTAAATTCCCTCTTGAAAGGCAAAGCACAGAGTCGCTTATAATAAATAAATGCCCAACTTAACAACTTAAATGTTCACGCCATTCAGCTATGTTAAATGTCCAACTTAACAGGAAACAAAGATTCAATTCTGTTAAATGTAAAGCCGTCGGCAAAACAATGGAAAACTTTGGGATATTTAGTGACAAATTTCGCTGTCATGCTACTCTTTTGATTGTCAAAGCAAAAGAGTATAAATATTTAAAGAAATCTACAAATTTTTATACATCATATATACTAATCTAGTGTACGTACATCTATATATATATATATATATATATATTTGTTCTTTAAAATGTATTGTACATATACGCAAAGTTATGAAATATTTACAACGTTATAGCATAACACACGAAAGACAAACTATGAATAAATTTTTTTTAAAGGTGCGATATTACAAATAAATATTAAATTTTAAGATTCCAATCTGCTCTACGACTTATCATCTATTATTTTTAAATTTCTCTCATTATAATTTCAGTTTTTAAATTTTAATTGAAAGAAAATAAAAGGAAAAATAAAAGAAAAACAGTTTCAGACTGAATCTTAGATACCTACCATTTTAAACAAGTCGATACAAGATCACAGCAGTTTTTTAAAATTGACGAAATAGTGCAAATATATTTTTTATTTAATTTACTCATTTACACGGCCTGCGCCGATGTTTATATGTAATAAATTAAGTTTTTTTGTTTTTTTATTATTTTTTTTTTATAGAAAAACTTTATATAAAATAAGCGAAATAAAGTGAAACACTATGAAGACTCTTAAGACTTTTTTCTCCAATATCATTAATCAGTGAATTTCAGATGAAAGGATAACTCTGATGAGTGTTTTTATAATGCATACGGCCTAAATGAAAATGAGAATAAAGCCAAGTTTTCTGCCGATCAACGTCAATATTAGCCTTAATCTTGTAAGGATTAAGCTATATTAAAGCAGATATCTTAGCGATGTTGCAAATATGAAAATGAAATGAAAATAATATAATTGTTTTCTTTCATATTAGTTTTTTATGTTAAATTTATTAATCTCTTGTATCCAACAAATTGTCATAAATCTCTTCTATACCGGAAATCTGGTGAAGCTTGGCAAGAAACTTTTCATAGTCCGCGTGCTCCTCTGAAGGCAACTCCACATATTTCTAAATATAACAAATGAATAAACAATAAACAAAAAAATATGGACAATTGAATGTACCACGGGCGTATAGATGTGTTCCATATTTTCGATGATATAGTTTTTTGTTTCAATCGATTTCCGCAAGGAAAGTAACTCTTCAGGTCTGCAAATAAACTAATAGAAACATGGAAGTTCAGTATTCTCAGCATTCGAAGATTTCGCTTCTAAACGCCTTACATTAACAAGCCCTGCAGCGGCATCAGAGACTTCAACTTCTTCTGCTCCACATTCGATGGCATCTTCTGTAGCTAACTCCTCAATATTTTTCGATGAAACTAAACGCTCCTTACTGACGGTTGCTTCTATAAGACCATACTCTTCAAACAAGTTATTCGTATCTATCATAGCGCTGGGAATAATTTTGAAAGTAACCATTTTAAAATCACAAATTAAGTTTTATCACTTACCCGGACTTTCTTAATATTGGTGCAATCTCCTGTTTCAGGCCTGAATAATTATCGGTGTAAATAATCAAAACGATGAAAACTTTTTGCTTAAAACGCAAATCGAGGCGGTATCTCTTTAGTTCCGTTTTGTTTTGCTGGCACTTTTTAATACTACTTTGGATGCTTGACATCGGCATATTTTTTCGAAGTAACATTCTGGATTTTTACGCAAATTTTCGAACTGCACTTCTTTAGACATAAGCGAAAATGTGTTACAATCATACAAATGATGACTACGGCAATTGGAGAATAATGGAGTTATTGAGCATTTACTAAAGTTAATAAGACTTTCGTTATCTTTAATACAATAAATGAAAATTGTATTTTACTTACCTACAATAACTTTGAGTCAACCGAAAGCAATTACTGCATCTCTTATCACCAGGGCAAGCAATTATCAGTATAGGGCTTTCATTTAATATTGGTTCGCCGACTTTTATATTTTCACAAGCTCGAACGTATCTAAAAATTAATTTTATGTAATCCTTTTAAGCAAATTTTTATTTTAGTTGTAAGATTTTTTTTTTTTTTGTTACCTTCCAGCGTGTCATTTTGGGCGATTTTACACTTTTCATTAAATTCGTCAGTCATAGAGGTTTCCTTTTGAATTCCTAATTAAAACGGATTTAAGTTTAAATTTTCTTTCAGACGCGAAGCGACATCAACGAAGAACTATTAAAGAAGATGGACACTATGACAATAGAAAAGGAAAGGAAAAATGCCTTGCAAGCGCAAGATACTGAATGCTTTTTAACACTCTATGTTAAGGGTTATCGACTTTCACAAACTGACATCTAAACATCTAGAGGAGATGATAGATGAGCAAAAGCGACCAAGTCAAGGAAAAAGAATCGGAAACAATCAGGAAACCATTAAAAAGACTAACAATTTCTTTTAAATATATTTTTATATATATTAAAAAAGCTATTTTAAATATATAATGAAGCTATTATATAAATAAAGCTATTTATATTTAAATACAAATTATATAAATTAATATACAGTAACAGGAAAGGCCAGTTTGATTTTCCCAATGACAAATCGAAGCGGTTGAAAAAGTGTTTGTTGCTATAAGCTCCAACTAGACGGATGCTTTTGATTATATTTTTGGTTATACGTTGGGTTTTGGGTTGTTGCATGGTTGTCACCGTAAATGCCGTACCAATTGCATGGCCAATAAGCAAACTTGACGCATTTAGTCAAATTAGCAGCTGAAAGTCTTAAAATCATTTTGTGTTTGATTCTTTTTGCTGGAACAATAGACAGGTAAATAACTTATTATTATTACGTTTTCATTAACTGATTACTGGCACTTTTATGCTGAAGTTTTCGATCGCAATAGATATACACGAAGTACGAAGCTGTACGTAACCATCTGTCATGAAATCTAAATTAGTGTTTTTTTTGCTTCTTATGAGAACTATACCTTTGAAATAACACATACATTTAAGTGGCCATTTTCTTTTAAAGAGCTACAAACAAACCATTTTTGTGATTGAATTAAACAGAAATCCAAATGATGCAAATGTGCAATGAGCAACACCACTTGTTTTTACAAACATATGGGTTCAATTAAGAGTAGATTTATTATTATTCCCGAAAAAAAATGAATTATAACTTGTTGGTTTTTTTATTTTTCCAATTATTAGCGGTGTTTAGAAGTGCATTCCTAACATTTTAATAAAGCCTTTTCATTTAATATACAAGCATTTATCATATTTTCAAATATTAAAAAAAAAAATTATTTCACTTGTATTCTTACTTGTTTATGCGCAGATGTAGATGCCATCCTGGTCACTATGCCACCGGGAGATACCCATGGTAAGTGGTGGAGTGTGCAAAGCCAATTTTTGCTCGTATCAAAAATTTCTAAAAAATAAGGGCTGTGTTTGGGGGTAGACGTGTATGTTTGTTTGTAAAGAGTTTGATCAGATTGCAATAAAGTTGACAGTTTTTTAAAGCACTTTCATAGTGATTGCGGAAGATTAGACTGGAGTTCAGGGCAAAAAAAAGAAATTAAAAGGACGTGGATTGATCGACATTTATGCCATTGATGAGTAAGTTACTAGTTTTATAAGATCTTAGTTTTGCTCAGGTTAAACATGTAAATTGATTTTTGCACTTTCCTCGTAGAATTGATTTGCTTTTGAAGACAAGTTTTTGACAGCCTTACTAAAAGATGACGTAGACTAGCAGAAAGGCATCTTCGGATATGTGGGCATTTGGGGTCGTGCAGCTGGTGCAAATTGGCTCAGTAGAAATGAAATAGAATAAGACTTAGGCAACTGTCTCGCGGCAGGCCTATCCTAAGAAGTTTAGGATACATTGGCGTGTGTGCAAGAGGATTTGAAATAACATAAGAGTTTTTGCCCGTGTTTTAAGATGGACGCAATCATAAGCCTTGCTAAAATCAAGGGACAACAGGGTTACTTTTTTGCTGGTACTTTTCTGAATTACGCGAATGGTTTGACTTTCGTATTGCTACGTTATTGTACCACTTTATTATAAGGATATTATTTATTTCTTGATTAATATCTTCGATATTATCGTTGGATCCCTCCGAGAGAAGAGAGAGCAAATGCTAGAGTCAAGGCCATCGAAATAGTTTTAGTCCTACATTCCTTTGCGTTGTTTTGATTTTACTTATTTGTTCTTCCTTTTTTCTAGCTGGACAAGATTTGTGTTGAGTAGAGCATTTCAGACAACAAGTCCCTTTTGCCTGCAAAACTTGTGCAACGTAGCCGAAGCGACCACATATCAAGCACATCCTTAAAGTCGGAATGAAAAGTTAACTTGTAGGATACAACAATTAAAACAAATCCTTTTGGGTATAGCATTTCCTTTGAAACCAATCTTGACATTGGACGTGAGGATAAGTTGTGTGTTATCTTCGGAGGATCTGCGATTTAAACGGGTAATCGAACGACGTAACAATTCCACCTATGAACAGGTAATATATTAATAAATATTTTGATAATCGTTGGTACACTGCCGCGTACCGTGGGTCTAATTTTAACGAAAAATTTGCAACATTCGGATGTGTACAGGATATATTACACTGGCATGCCTGAGAAGAACATCGGAAAAAGGATCCAGGCGACAATCGTGTGAAAATGGTAATTCTTCAAGGAATTCGGATCGTTAATTTATTAGTGTATTTATTACATATACTTTTAAGCAATATCAAGATACAGAAAAAACTGAAAAGGGTAAATAATTTTGTGAATGTAATGCATGAACATGCCTTGAATTCAATGCTATTATTATATCATTATATTACTTAAACTAAGTTTTCATATTACATTATATTATATTGGTTTATGTATATTATATACTATATTAAATTATATTGTATTTATTTATATTATATATTTCTATTAAATTATATATATTATATATATTTATACTTATATTATCTTGAATTTATTGCAAATAATAACTTGTGCAAGATTTTAATTATTATCGTTATTATATTGGAATATTATTGGTGTATTATTACAGTAAAAGCTCCTTATTCGAGCTTCCTTTATTCGCGGATGAAAAAAATGCGACCCAATTATCATATTCGCGGCTATAAATTTCTTTATTCGCGGATTTTTTGTAACCGGTTCCGGAATTGTTTTGTTTCTGAAGTTGAAACATATTTAAAAAAACAGAATTTAGACTTTAAAGCACTTCTAATATGGACAATGCACCAGTTCATCCTCGCGAACTTGAAGCGTCCTAACGAGGCTAATAATCGTTGTTGGCACGCGCTTGCCTATGTTGCGTTTCGTCATATGTGCCTGGGAACGCTGGGTCCAAATATGCTGTGGTGATAAGTAGCTCGTTTTTCTGGTCCTTCGCCACTTGATTCCCGTTTACTTCAATGCAAAAAATCGGACTTGTCTTCGGTTACGTCCGTTAAACAATGATGGCATTTCAACTGGTCACATACGAATCGCGCTATCACGAATCCCTTGACCAGACGCAGGTAGCTGTCTATTTTGTTGCTTAGCTGACCTGTAATCTTCTGCTGACTCTTTTTTAATTTCATAATCCAATTTGTTTATTAAATCATAATCTTCTTTTGGTGCACATCCGCTCGCATATGCTGATAAACCTCGAACGGATAAACGGTAAGGAGAAAAACTGTTAAGATTATTAATAGTACGGAGTATAAATATAAACGTCGAGTTGTTTCTTTCGGAAAGTAGATAATATTTACATTTACAGACATATAAGCCTATAAAGTTAGTCCTCTACGCATTGCCGAAAGGAAAACTGAATTATATTATAAAAGTAGATTCCGAAAGGTAAAGATCAAAAGTTTTAAGTGTTCTTAGAGTAGAGTAGAGTAAAATTAATGATTTATGCCTAACACATGCAAGTTCGAATCAATTATTTATAAATTTAGGCAAAAGCTTATGAAAAGTTTTCCCCCTATGTAGCATTAATGTACTAAAACTATTTAAATCATTTAATTTTATATCTAATTGTGGACGTTCGCGCGACTGCGCGTTAGGGTGGGAAACAAGAAGTGTTCGCCTAATTTTTCAGCCGCTCGTGAGGTGGCGTAGTGCTGTTTACGGTAGCAATAACGCGAGAAGTAAAATTCTAAGCAATAATCTCGGTAGTTATATGTTTGCTGAAAGTTGGCATCAAATTTAAGCAGAATGCGATTGAGAAGCGCTTTGTGCTCACTCCTTCATACGTACGTTCGGCATTTTCACTATCGGTCCAGGGGTCTTTCGCTTTGACAATATCTCCAATTATTAACGTAGGACGACGTTCGGAAAGATTTTCCATGACCAGAGCTAAATACTTGCCCTCACGTGTGAAATGTACCCGTTCGCGATTCACGTAGTTGCTTATGTTTAATTCTTCTTTCAGACTCGGGAAAATATTTTTAATGTTTTCCAACATGTCCTTGTTGCAACTCGCAGCAACATACGCCCGTTTTAGACGTTCGGGCACATCAAAGCTTCCGATGAGATGTTTGGGTTGCAACAGCAAATCAATTAAATTTAAAAATTAATGTAAATAAATTATAGTGAAATCCTGATTTCACAGAATACGGAATATCTCCGTATTGCCTTTCTTATCACTTGACAATATCAAATTGTTTAACGGCAGTGCGAGTTAGCCGCATATAAGCGAAAGCATTTGTGCAATGTTGCTGAGTAAGAGAAGAAAACGAACTGCGTCTGTTTATGTACATCCCTATTAAACTTTTCAATAATTGAACATATATTTGTATAATCTATGGTGCCTTTAAAGAATAGACGTATAAAGTTGGTGCCTTTAGAGAATAAGCGTATATATGTTCTCAACAATTTGTAAAAATTGAAACTATGCATCCAAACATAAAAGTGACATTTTCACACGACGGCTTTGCTACAACCTATGGACCAAGGAATAATCCAGGCCTTTAAACTCTATTACATTAGACAAACCTTCAAAATCATATTGGATAATGTGGAATGTAATCCTGATATGAATGTTATGGAGTGCAGGAAGAATTTTGACGTAGCAAAATGCATCGCACACATAAAAGAATCATTGGAAGAACTGAAGCCACACACATTGAAGTCATACTGGAAAAACCTGTGGCCTGCTTTGACTGCGGAAAAAGACAAAGAAACTGTGCAAGTTCAAACTTTGACTGCAAACATAGCCGAAATCGCGAATGG